TTGATATTTGGCAGAAGAAATGAGTCCTTAGCGCATGCTTTGTTTAAGTCTTTGTAGTCTACGCACATTCTAAGTTTATTCCCCTTCTTGGGGACTACAACTACGTTTGCTAACCATTCGCGATGTTTTACTTCCCGGATGGATCGTATTTTGAGAAGTTTGGTTACCTCATCCTTGATGAATGAATGCTTTACCTCGGACTATGTCCTTCTCTTTTGCTTACTGGCCTGAACTTTGGATCCAAACTCAATCGATGAATGGTAATCTCCGGTGTGATCCCTGTCATGTCAAGGTGGGACCAAGCAAAACAATCCACATTTTTAATAAGGAATTTAATGAGTTTTTCCCTGAGCTCGGGAGTTAACCCCGTGCCCAGGTATACCTTTCGATCGGAAAGATGCTCGATCAATATGACTTGTTCCAGATCTTTGACCGTTGACTTCGTGGCAATGGAATAATCGAGAATTACGAAGGTTCAAGGTATCGCACAGTTATCATCCTCGAAAGTTTCCTGCTGTTCCAATCTAGTCGAGGCCGGCGACTGTGGTTGCTATTTGACTTCCTATTTTCCTTTGACTCGGGTCCCTTTGTTGATGTTAGTGCCGATACTGGTATTACCTCATCAATTGCAAACATCTCTTTGGCTGTTGGTTGTTCACCGTACACTGTCTTGATTCCTTCCGATGTTGGGAATTTCAAGACTTGATGAAGCATCAAAGTTACCACCCTCATATTATGGATCCAAGGTCTCCCCAGCAACGTGTTGTATCTCATATCACCTTCGGTTACATGGAACTTTGTTTCCTGGACAGCTCCAGCCACATTTACTGGCAACATGATTTCCCCTTTGGTGGTTTCACTTGTCATGTTGAAATCGTTGAGCACCCGAGCTGCAGGCATGATTTGATCCTGGAGGTAGAGTTGCTCTACGACCCTTGATCGGATAATGTTTGCCTAGCTACCTGGATCAACTAACACACTTTTAACTTGAATTTTATTCATAAGGATAGATATTACCAGTGCATCATTGTGAGGCTGTTCGATCCTTTCGGCATCCTCATCGTTGAAAGATAAGGTATCCTCTGATAAGTAGTCCCGGTTACGCTTCTCCCTTATGATTGTCACTTTGGTGCGTTTGAATATCGGGCCTTGAGGAATATTGACCGCGCAAAGATCATATTGATTATGTGTTGCGGCTCTTCCTGTTCGTTTTTCCTGTTTGCATCTCTGTCTATGAAATGATTTTTAGCTCGCTCACTCAGGAACTCTCGAAGGTGACCCTCATTGAATAAACGAGCCACCTCATCCCTTAACTGCCTGCAGTCTTCGATTCTGTGACCATGGGTTCCATGGTATTTGAACATTTGATTAGGTTTCCTTTGAGATGGATCGGTTTGTTGGGTCTGGCCACTTAGTATCCTTGATTCGTCCAATGGCTGATACAATACCTGATGCATCGATGCTAAAGTTGTACTCTGATAATCGCGGCGCTTCTTTAGGCTCGACATGTTTATCGAAGCCACTTTTACTCATGAGGCCTCGGGAGTTTTTACCTTGATCATTCCTTCAATCATTTCGAATGGGGTTACGTCCTGGTCCACTGTTTCTACGATCCGTGTTGTATGGTTGGTACTGATCTTTGTTTGATCGGGGCTCTCCGATGTCTCTTTGAATCCTGCATTCGGATCTATTTGGATAAACGGAACCGGAAGGGGCTCTTAATTGATCATCCTCGACTCTGATCTTTGACCGGTATCGATTATGCACATCAGCCCAGGTCACAGCTGGATATTCAATCAAATTCTATTTAAGTTGTCGTGATGCTATCGAACTCCGCTCGTTCAACCCTTGAGCGAAGGCTTGGACAGCCCAATAATCGGTGATTGGGGGTAGGTCCATGTGTTCCATCTAGATCCGAGATACGAACTCCCTTAGCATTTCGTTGTCCTTTTCTCTGGTGTGTTCCTTTGCGAACGAATCGGCAAGCATGACGAAGGAATCCATGGAATTGGGCAGCAAATTGTGGTACCATATCATTGCCCCCTTCGATAAAGTTTCTCCAAAGTTTTTCAACAGAACCGATTCAATTTCGTCGTCTTCTAAGTCATTTCCTTTTATTGCGCATGTATAAGAAGTGACATGCTCAGTAGGATCAGTGGTTCCATTGTACTTCGGAATTTCTGGCATGCAGAATTTCTTCGGAGCCGCACTTAGTGGGAAAGGCTTCTGTACGAACTTCTTCGAATCCAAACCCTTCAGAGTCGGGGGTGCCCCCGATATTTGATCAACCCGTGAGTTGTACGCTTTTACTTTTTTATCATTAGCCTTGATTTTCTTTTCTCCTGATTCAATCCTTTTGGTGAGCTCCTCGAGCATTTTCATGATTGGGGGGGGGGGGGGGTCAGCTCCCGATCCACTAACGTTCACTTTCTCCTATGCACGTTCGACCCTATGAATAACTTCCTGTGATGCACCGAGTTCGATTCTTCTTGGTGCTCGATTCTGATTTTGGAGTTGTGCTATCGCAACCTGGGGGGGGGGGGAGTCAGCTCCCGATCCATTATCGTTAACTTTCTCCTATGCACGCTCGACCCTATGAATAACTACCTGTGATGCATCGAGTTCGATTCTGCTTGGTGCTCGATTCTGATTTTGGAGTTGTGCTATCGAAGCCTGCTGAGTTTGTAACATATCAAATATCATTCGAAGGCTAATCCCGCCTTCTTCACCACTCTGTGCGTTCTGATCGGCTGCCTGAGCATCTCCGCGAACGTTATTTTTAGGGTCGGCGCCTAAATCTCTACGAATGGAAAGACGAGAATTGACATCGACTGGATCTACGGCCTGTGGTCCATTGGGATTGATTGGAGGTACTCCGTTTTTCGGGGCGACTATGTGCTCGTTCTCGCCGTGAAGACCAAGGCCGGTATCTGTGTGAGTGGGCACTGCTTGAGAGTTCAACATGTTGATTCCTGAAATCAAAATCAATTACGAGAACAAGTGTAAAGGCAATGTGTGTTATGAGGATTAATACTAGGCAATCATTATTATCCTTAGCCCCACAGTGAGCGCCAAACTGTTTAACCTAAAAATTGGATAACAATTAAACTTATAAAGTGGTTTTAAGGATATGCGATTTCACTTAATACCAATTGATAAACGTAAAGATAAGTGATGCTAATTGACAATAATATAAAGCAAACCAGCGTTTAGACAGAGCCCTCGAGCTCGGATATCCTTGAGCTAGTTATGCAAGAATAGTTAAAGGCACAATAAGCTGATTGAACAAGAATGTAAGCTGAGAAATATTATATTGCTTTGATATTCGTGAATGTAAGGTGTTTACAAATGATGGGGACTCCTCTTTATATAGTAGAGGAGTCCTAATTATGGTATAACTCTAATTACAGAAGTAAATCCCATGATTAGCCATAACAACCGCCCTTGATCTGATCTGTTCCGGGATTTCCGCCGTGATCTTCGACCGGTTACGGATATCTCGCCTTTTCGTTATTGCGCTTCGTTCAAAGTCTGTCATATATTGTCTCGATCGCTGTTGGACTCGATCTCGACTAGCACCTCGAGTCTCGAGCTCGATACCTTATCTTCGTGCTCTGACCTGATCCATTACGAGACTAACCCTCGACGTGATTCCCCGATCTTCGATTAGATGGCAAAATCGGACAAGTCCTATTTTAACCATATACAATGTATCTTACTGGCAAATTGGAAGTACAAATGAATTTGTTCGTACGGTAAATAATGGGATCACACACAAAGAGAGAGAGAAAACAAACAAACAAAGAGATAAAAGAACAATGAAGTTGGAGTGATGAAGTCCCACGAGTCAAACAAGTAAATTTAATAGCTCATAAAATTTGTTGGTTGTTTAAAAATGGTTGAAGGCAGTTGTGAGCTATTAAAAGTATTCTTGTTACTCAGCGTTTCGATGTCACTGAGGTGTTTAGATCTTTAGAGTTATTATTGTTCTTTGGTGACTGTTTCTCTGAAATTTGGAGTTATGCTCTTACTTTAAATTTTCATTGCCATTCAAGACCTTCTTTAACTTGTACCACCCTCTCTTTCTCTCAATCTCTGAACACAAGAATGGTTGGATGTGCAAATAAAATTCCATATGATAGCTGAAGAGATAGGAAATCAACATATAAGGTGTGTGGATCTTTTTATAGTGTGAGGCCTTTTTGAAAAAATCGTGCGGGCTTGGTTCAAAGTGGACAATATTACACTACGCTAAGAGTATCTCCATACGATGTGGGTGGCACACAGTAAATCTCGAAATTTGACCCGTAAATCGTGTTAATGGGACACATGAAACTTAATTCGAGGAGGAGACATGTGAATCGTGATAGTGGGTCACATATAGAACTTAGTTCGAGGGAGAGATTGTTGGGTGTGCAAACAAAGACACACATTGGCAGCTGAAAAGATTAAGAGTCTACATATAAAGTGTTGGGATCTCTTAATGATGTGAGGCTTTTTAGGAAAAACCGTGCACATTTAGCTCAAAACAGATAATATATCATACTATGTTAAGAGCACTACCGTTTAATACAATAAGGTTTAGTCCAGAATAAAGATGACCGATGGCGTATCTTTTTTTTTTTTTTTAAAATTGACAGAATACATATAACTTAAACTCGTATAATAAGTATTCACCATTTTGATTCTCACAAAGAGAGTTGGGCCAAAAAAGAAAACCAAAGAAGCAACAGATTTTGATCATTGTCAAATTCATCAGTCATGGTCTCCCTTCAAACTACTAAATCATAAGATTTGTATAAGAAGAGAAAGTGGCGAGAAATCAAAGCAGACGAAATCTCTGAAAAGCCAAAGCAAGTGATATCTCTATTTGGCACCGAGTTTCAGCATGAAAGTCCTCTGCCTTTGGAGTGGCAACGGTGCCTTGATATTAAGGTAACTATTAGTCGTTTAACTTATATACATTCACGGTGCTAAAAACTTACACTATACCGATGTACTTTTATCTGATATATAACAGGTTATTTATAGACTCTATTTTGCTAGTTATCAATTTGATGTTTGTTATAGGAGTATTAGTTATCTGTAATTGTCTTTTACATGACTTGATATATCAAACTATTTTACAATGTATATCACTCTAAAAAACATAGGATGGTCATATTTTTCGTTTCAAGAACTTTGAAATTAATTCGTTCAATGTGCTTGAGGAAGAGCATTATGGTGACAGCAGGGTCAGACGTAGTATTCTGGTGACGGGTTCAATTGAACCCATAACTTTCGACGCGGGGTATAACTTTAATTTATGCGTAAAAATTTACAAAAAACTCAAAAATAGTATATATGAACTCATAACTTTAAAAATATAATAGGTTCATTATTAAGAACCTTAAAAGTTGAACCCATAGAGCTAAAATTTTGGGTCCGCCTCTGGGTGACAGGACTAACCTTGTTTTCCTTTATTCTGGTTGAAATGCAGTCTGGATATATATACTTCTATAACACAAGAACACAAAAGAGAACATCAAGGGATCCTAGATTGAGTCCTGAGCCACAAAGTCCAGACCATATGAGTTTAGACCTTCAACTGAATTTACCATGTGGATCATCAGAGAACAACCAAGTGGTTGACAACTTCAATAAACGTAATTCTGTTAGCAATTCAAGTTACTCCGGTGGTGATGCCGAGATCAAAAGGCGTGGTATCGCTCATTCTCTGTCGTGGTTGACGTTTGATGGTGATCAACAAGAGATGTTCACTGCAGTTTGCAAGAAGTATCATGTGTTGGTAATGATGTGCAAATCTTCACCATCATGTCCAAACTGCAAATTCATCAACCCGGCGCCAGACCTGAGCACTCCTACATACCCTGTTCAAGAGAAGGCTATGCCTCTCATGTTTAATGAAAGAAGTATTCTAGTTACCAAAGATTGAGGGTAAAATGTAGCAATATGATAAGTGTGGATTCATGTAACCGGCCTAAGTTTGCTTGGGATTGAGACGTAGCTGTTGTTGTTTTTCAGGGTATGAAAGATTGTCTGTAGCATCATTTGAGCTGCAATCTTTTAAATATATAGCTTCCTAGTCCCTCCATTTAACTTCTGTTGCTCCTTTATAGAGAGGGAAAATAGGAAAAGGGAAAGAGTTTTTATACTTCAGTTAAATGTTTATATTGATATAATGTAATAACTAATTGAAGAAAGCTGGAAACTGACCGTGTTAGTCCAAGCATTTGGTATCAAGATTGGTAGGAAGCAATGGGTTAAGAAATTGCAACGTCAAACTTTTGAATTGGGATGGCACAGTAAGAATGGATTTCACATCATTCAATATTGGCTAATTCGATCGACATAGTCACAAAAGTTATTAAACTTGATAATAACTACAACTTCCCCCGTTAGGCTATTAAATTCCGAAGTTAATGCACCCAACTCAATTGGCATTAAATGAGGGTCTATCTATCAACTCCTCAGCTAGCTAGGCCATATTCAATTAGAATCGTATAGCATTGCAGTAGTGAGTTTCTATCCTGTCTTTAAACTTGAATAAGCTACAAGATTTTATAAGCTAGCTATCCATAGGCATATAACTGATTAACTATCCAAGAGAACTTACTATGTATAGTATAGAGGATAAAAGTTGTAATTTAAAATGATAAATCACACTTTGGAGTTGTAATGGTATCTATTTAATGTTTTTTATATTTGTTAAGGGGCATTTACTGGCTATAATCATAAGATATATAACCTATTTGTTATCGCACCCTTAAACGTCTGGCTATTAGTTACTAGCTAGTACTATCAATTATGGCTAATTTAAGATCACATATTTTATAAATGTTCCTTTCTTTCTTAATGTTTGTGTCAAGTTAAACTACAGAAACAAAGTGAAACATGTTAGGTGTTTTCCTGATTTTTTCTTACCACATTTGGTTTTCTTATCTCTCGAAGAAAAGGGCAACACATTTACCATAATTGGATTTTCCTTCTTGTAGAAGGAAATTATAAATCTCCTATATTTTGGCTAGTCCCTTTTCTTGTAAGAAAATGTTTGGACTCCTATAAATTGAGGATCCTTCCTTCTCATTCAGTAGCATCCACAATGTAGCCATATGGGGTTTAAGAGTCGTGTTTAGGGGGAGAACTTTACGTGACAAGTGTTAGTGTGTCACTTGTGTTTGTCTCTTCGTGAGGTTGTTCTCTTAATATTTTGTACTCTCTTTTAATATAGCGGATTGCTCATCTCCGCGTGGACGTAGGTCCATTGACCGAACCACGTTATATGTTTGTGTCTCTTTTGGTATATTTTTCTTTTATTTTTGATTTATTGTGGATCAAGGTTTGCTTTACTGATTTTTGCATGACGCCTAATTTTTTCGGTCCTAACAAAACAAAGGGAGTACAAGATATTGGACTATACACGTATTGTGTATTCCCCAAAATATACGAAATAAAACCTTTACCGCTATCAAAAACTATACAAATAAAAATTTCCTTGTGCTTGAGCCTTATAGAAACCATACCAGCCATGTTCAGTCTATAAGGCCTTTTAGCACCATGAGGCAAATGAGAAGAACGGACTTTATTGACTCCTTTTAGGATATAAAGAAATAGATACTGAGACTAAATCTTAAAAACTAGCTTATTATAAGGTGAAGATTGCCCAGGATCAAATATTCCCAATCCGACGTGGGAAACCAACAGTAACCATTCAATACAGACCAATTCAGTCCAAAAAGAACAGCATTGGCTTCTTAACTGGAGGAGTAGTTTACGTGCCATATTACTTGTGACGTGCACGATATCATGTAAACTAAAAAATGACTTCTACACTTGTAAAGTCTATCATTTTAATAGCATGCTTGATCGACAAAATTCTGGAAAAATAAAAGTGTTTCTTTTAAGAACTGAGAGTTAATAGTGTTTGAAAAAGTTTCTAAAAAATTAATTGATTTTTGAGTCTATATGCAGAAGTTGAGAATTAATTATTTCATGAAAAATACCCTTCAAAAATTAATATTTATCAAACCAGTCCCTCCTTAATTTAACCCATTTGTTAGCCCACGCTCTCCTTAATGAAATATAATTTAATAACTTAATATAAAGCCTTCACAACAAATATTTAAAATCATTCTTGGAATAATCTTGATCTATCCTTGCTGCTAACCCAGGAGGAGCTATTATGTCAGTAGGATGGACTTTTGGTACATTTTTGTTTTCCTCTACTTTTGTTGCCTTCTCTTAACGGACGAGAAGTTCAAATAAATTATTGCAGTAGACGTTTTGTAACACAAGCTGTAGAAATGCAAGTGATTAAGAATTAACTCGTGATACAATAGTGCCCAATGTGTAAGTTTAGGGTAAGGGGCTGGTCAAAGGCTTGATTAATAATGTGGAAACACTGTATTCATTAATTCGCATATAAAAAGTTTTGTCTTGTAGTCATATCCGAAAGTCATACTGTAGCTGATTTAGTAGTGTTGAATACAAATAGTAGCAAGTGAAATAATTCTTACTGAATTAACAAGGAATCAATCATCTTGCTAAAAGGATAGGCCAACAACCCTCCTTCCTCGGAGTCCCTCTTTGTTTAAAAGGAAGACTTGAAGATGTTCTCAAAATTTGAACCTGTGTTCTGGAAAACAATGCATTCCCTTCTTTTTTTGATGTATTTGGTGCACACCGCGTGGGTGGCAACGGCTAATGTAACAAATGGTTGTGCTTCAGAAGTCAAGAACATATTCATTTTATCAGGACAGAGCAACATGTCAGGCCGTGGTGGAGTCTTTAATCAGACCAGCCCAGCAGGTATGGTTAATTTGACTTGGGGTGGTGTCGTTCCACCTGAATGTCAGCCCAATCCATCAATCGTCCGACTTAGCGCAGAACTTAAATGGGCTGAGGCTAAAGACCTCTACACAAAGACATAGATGTGAACAAAACTTGTGGGGCTGGTCCTGGTATGTCATTTGCCAATACACTCTTGAAGAGTGACCCGAATATTGGAGTGATTGGCTTGGTCCCGTGTGCTATTGGAGTCACAAATATTACTCAGATGAAGCGCTCGGAACACAGGGCCGGGTTCTTTTAGGTATTGATACACTTGTAAATTGATTCATCGACTTATAACCTACTCAGATGCATGTATATATATTAAAAACAAAACGTCTCGACTTATATCAATTAATATGTTATAATTGATTCATCGACTTTTAACCTAGTGATGAATGAATGTAATTCATTAACTTTGTTACAAAAAGTCGATGAATTAATTATAACATATTAATTGATATAAGTCGAGACGTTTTATTTTTAATCAATACTATATATATATATATATATCTAAAAAAACCAAAATAGAAAAAAAAGTTATTTAATTTTTTTTTAGAAATAGCGACCAACTTTGGTCGCTATTTTGGTCAAACGGTCAAAAAATAGCGACCAACGTTGGTCGCTACTTTGGTCAAACAGTCAAAACTTAATTAGCTACCAAAATACCGACCAACGCTGGTCGCTTTTTGTAAATCCAGAGTCAAAAATGGGTTTCCCCCTCCCATTCTCTTATTTTCTTTCCCAAACTCTCTCTCAACACTATCCCCTCCCCTTCTACGTCCCCCCACCCCGCGCCACCACTGTGACCGCGCCACCACCGCCACCACTGTCCGCTATCACCACTGTCCGCGCCACCACTGCCCGCGCCACCACTGCCCGCGCCACCACTCTCCGCGCCACCACTGCCATTGTTGTTCAAGGTTAGTAATCTACCTTATTAGCTTTTTAATTTTTAATTTTTGCTATATAATTTTATGTAATTTTTTTAGAGTTTTTGTCTATTTAGTATTAGGGTTTTTGGTTTGAACTACATTAGATTTAGAATTAAGGCATAGAACTCAAATTAATGAATTTAAATTATTTAATGTTTAAATTATGAACTTAAGGTAGAAATTATGAACTACCTTATGGACTTATGGTTCTTAATAGAACTCAAATTAATGAATTTAAATTACTTAATGTATAGATTATGAACTTAAGGTAGAAATTATGAACCACCTTAAATTATGAACTTATTGTTCTTAATAGAACTCAAATTAATGCATTTAAATTATTTAATGTATAAATTATGAATTTAAATTAACTAAATTAATTTGTTCTTGTTTTATTTGTATAGATGGAACATCGTACTTGGATGTACAATAGGAATTATCCTAATCGGCAGGGATTGCGGGAGGATTTTGTAGAAGGGGTGGATGACTTTATTAGACATGCAATGTCACTTCCACCATACCTAAGTGAATGAGTAATTAGGTGCCCTTGTGTTAGGTGCGACTGTATGAAGTTTGGAAAATCGGCGGAAGTTAAGCATCATCTTCATAGGAAGGGGTTTATAGCAAATTACTTTGTGTGGACTAATCATGGAGAGATCGATGGTAGCCATGGGATATTTCATAACATGGTTGTGGGTGAAAGTAGTAGGTCGGTGGAAAATACAAATCGTGATTCTAGAATTCATGATATGGTTACAGATGCTTTTGGGATGCACTTAGGGGGTGAGCCCAATGAAAATGTTGAACAAACTCCTAATAATGACGCAAAATATTTTTATGAACAATTAGAGGAAGTTAGTCGTCCACTACGTAATGGAAGTCCGCACTCTGAGTTCTCTGTTGCAGTTAGATTACTAAGTATCAAATCTGATTGGAATATTTCTCAAGCAGCCATGGACTCTTTCATTGACCTTATGACTGAACTAGTTGACTCTAATATCAAATTACCTGGTGATTTCTATAAGGCAAAGAGATTAGTTTCTAAGTTAGGACTTTCGTCAATGAGAATTGATTGTTGTTAAGATGGTTGCATGTTATATTATAAAGATGATGCAGCTTTAGACAGTTGTAAATTTTGCGAAAAGCCTCGTTTCAAGAGGCTTTCCAGCGGGAATATGGTCGCTATCAAGTCGATGCATTATTTACCTCTTATACCTAGGTTAAAGAGGTTATATGCGTCGATGAGTTTTGCTTCTCATATGAGATGGCACTTTGAAAATAGAAGACCACCTAGTGTTATGTGTCATCCTTCAGATGGAGAAGCTTGGAAGCACTTTGATAGGACATATCCAGATTTTGCTAGTGAACCAAGGAACATTCGGTTAGGTTTGTGTGCGGATGGCTTCACGCCTTTTTCTGTATCTGCGACACCATATTCATGTTGGCCTGTCTTTCTTACACCTTATAATCTATCACCCGAGTTGTGCATGACTAGTCCATATATATTCTTAAATTGTATTATCCCCGGTCCACGTAATCCGAAAAGTTTGATTGATGTATATTTTTAAC